TACTTAGTGAATTACAGTCAACAAAGAGGACATAACTTATGAATTTCTTATTATTCAATAAATTCTAGAACTGTGTAAGCACACAAGTGTGTCTGTCCTGCCAGAGCTCACAGCAAACATGTGGTATCTGATCATCCCATACCTGTTGCAAGCCAATGAATTAATGGTTGCACCACTGTGGCACAGAATAGAGCAGAACAGGTGTCCCCTGTCCGCCAGTGTAATTCAAGCTAGATTAATTTATAATCCCCTATTTTGTTTAGGTTTTCAAATATTCCAGCTTATGTGGAAGTGCACTTTTCCACACTGACGTGTGTGGGAGACCAGCTCCCACATTTATTTACCACAGGGACTCTCGAGGAGGGAGGGATAAGAGACTTAGATAGAAATAGAAGGGAGAGAAACAGATAGAAACACAGGATAGCCTCGGGTGGGCCTGGATCCTTATCCACCAGCCTGGAACTTTATTCAAAAGGGCTTTTTATAACAATGCCAAAGAGCAAGGCAAAAAGAGCTCCCCCTGCTAGATACAAACAAGTGTAGACCCTTCCAGATACCTGGCACTCAGGCCCGTGGTCCAATCAACCTCCTATGCAGTCCTGCTGGGTACAGCCACCAGGAAACCCCAGTGGGCTCCAACAGACATGGACAGTGGCATGGAGAAAGTGGGGTGGGAATGGAGGAGGCTCTGGCACCCTCCAAAGGACCATGGGCATTCCTGAACCACTCTAGTCACAGTCAAAATGCAGGTAAGCAGCTGTAGTCTCTGCCAGTCACCGGCAGCCCCGTGTGAGCAGAAACACCAAGGCTTTGCCTCTGCTGTCAGCACTGAGGACACCAAGGATAGGTTCCCCCCCTGCTCTCAGCTCCCATCCCAGGGCTTCCTGTCTGCAGGCAGCAGCCTCAGCCTGGATGGCAGTATCACCTCAACACAGGTTTTGCAAACACCAGACTAGGCTGAGCTAAGCTGACCCCAACAGGAATGATACCAAGGAAATGAGTTGGCAGAGCTGACTAAGAAAGAAGAGCACCCCAGGAAGTGTCTAGCCAGAGCAGAAGACAGAATGACTTGGAGTCTGGTGTTAGAGAAGACCACAGAGGCAGCACATGGTTCTGGACCTGTGGAATGCCAATTAAGCAGTAAACATGCACTCCTATCTTTATGCCCTAGAGACTGTGTTGGATGGTTTTTAAATGTCAACTTGTCTCCAAATAGGATCATCTGAAAATTTCAATTGAAGAATGGTCTAGATTAGGTTGGCTTATGAATATGTCTATAGGGGATTGTCTTGGTTGTTAATTGATATAGGAAGACCCATCCTGAATGTGGGTGGCATTATTTCATGGGCTTGGTTCTGAACTATACAAGACAGGTAGAAAGCTAGATAAGAGCAAGCAAGCCGGAAGACAGCATTGGTGTTTTCATTACCTCCTGCTCTTGACAACAGACATTACACCACTGGACACTTGAGTTCTTGTTTAACTTCCCCTCAGTAATGAACTGTAACAGAAGTGTGAGCCAAATAAACCCTTTTCTTCCCCAAGTTGCTCTTGGTCAGGGTGTTTATCACAGTAGCGCAGAGGCCATCCACACAATCTCCAGTAAAACCGCAGAGTAGAACGGAGAAGGAAGGACGAGACTGGAGAGCCTGCAGAAGGACAGGAGGCCTTCACTACCAGAGAGAAAGCTTCCCATCTTAGTTTGGAGGCCTGTGGGTCTCCACCACACTGTGCCAGCCACCCCGTACATGCAGAATGGCAGGAGGAGGCAGCTGGGGCTGGAGAACAAGGTAAAGCGAGAGACATAGCATCGGGGCTGTAGACCATGGTTCTATGGGAGCCGTGAAAGCCAAGACTGCAGAGGCAGGAGAGTAATGAGGAGCACAAAGGGGGATGGTGCCGCTGGGTGAGGACTCAGTGGGTGAAGAACCTGATGCACCAGCATGAGGTGGCAGGGAGTTGATGTGATCAAAACACAGGGAACGTAAGCATGAAAACATCGTAATAAAACCATTGCTGTGTAGTTATGTACAAATAATATATGCCAACAAAAACAAACAGCCTACAAGTGAAGGCTAAGCTTTTTAAAGGGAGGGGACTGGTTTTACTGGTTATACCCTTAAAGATTTTTTTTTTTTAATTATGTCACATCTGCTTAAGCTGAGATTTTTTTTTTTTCCTTTTTGGTTTTTCGAGACAGGGTTTCTCTGTGCAGCTTTGCACCTTTCCTGGGACTCACTTTGTAGACCAGTCTGGCCTCGAACTCACAGAGATCCGCCTGCCTCTGCCTCCCGAGTGCTGGGATTAAAGGCATGCACCACCACCTTCCGGCCTTAAGCTGAGATTTCTAAGGACCTCATTTCTAATCTTTGACATCTACTGGTTGACATCTCCCCCCGAAAGTCAACAGATTACAAACACCTATTAACATTCCTACTGAGAGAAGGAGGGCAGATTCTGTGCCTTTCTATTTTCACTGGAATCTGTCACATTCATGCTGTTGGCTTTGAGTCAAGAGCAGGACTGAAGTTTAAAATTGACACCAGATTCAAATCCTCGCAGCAAGTGCTCATCTGGGTACTGGCTTGTGTGTGAGAAAGGGCAGTTTTAAACTCTGCTGCGTTACACAAAAGGACAAGCCAGAAGCCACCTCCACCACACACAGTGGCTTTGGGCTGGCTTGTAGAAGCACGCAGACTGCCTAGAAAGGGCTTTACTGTTGATTCTTCATAAGGGCCCCCCAACCCCCCTGTTTGTGATAGTATGGGGCACGGTTCTAAGGTGCGAAGATGCAACGGTTGCTTTGGGGTGAGATGTAGCTTGGAATAAGTGCGTCATTGTAAACCAACTTACACCATCAACCGGAAGTCTCAGAGGTGCCGAGAACAATGACAACCGACTTACAGACTTATCACCCTAACAGACCACAAAATGATGACTCTTCCGAGGAGAACAAGACTTTTCACTGCTGTGTGTTAATGTATGTGAATTCCTTGGGGAAACAAAGTCTACTCGTGCGCAATACATAATGGCAAGATTTTATTTACTGTGATGTTTTAGTGGCTTTATAAATGAAATTATGATTAAGAAAAAGTGACTCATCCCCGATTCCTCATACTGCTCATTTCAGGTGGGAGAAAATCACAATTTTGGAGTCTATCGGAATGGTTCTAGCCAAGGACTGTGTCAAAATAGAATACTTCCAGATAGTTCTTAGCTCCCATTTGGCTGCAACTTCAAACACTAAACTCATAAAGAATTGGCTGTTCTATCAATGCATACACCTCTGACTCTTTCCTAAAAACTCCCTTGTCTAGAACTCGACTCCACCGTAAAGTCAGATTCCAGGCCAAACCAGATAGGGGAATGAAAACAAAGCAGGGGTGATTGGGGCAGTGGGACCCTGGGGTGTCTCTGATGGGGCAGTGGGACTCTGGGGTGTCTCTGATGGGGCAGTGGGACCCTGGGGTGTCTCTGATGGGGCAGTGGGACTCTGGGGTGTCTCTGATGGGGCAGTGGGACTCTTGGGTGTCTCAGACTGGGGAGATCTGGAGCACACTAACCCAGAGCAAGGCCGATGTTTAGCAGTGTGAAATGAAGTTGTAGGTGGAGTTTGAAAGAACAGTTAGTCGGAAAGTTGGCTGGGAAGTCCAGCTGGATCCTGTCCAAGTGTGGTTAGCAGAGAGTGGAAACTCTGAGCAAGTACACACTGCCACGGTGGGATGATGAAGTAGTTAAAATGCAATCCCAGCACTCAGAGAAACATAGACTCTTCATTTGACAACAGATACTTTGATCTTCGTCCTGTCCATTGAGTAACAAAAGAAACAACAAGAAACAAAATGCAGGCCCTTTCTTAGTTTGAAGCAATAATTTTGACATCCTTTCAGATATGATTATTAGTGTTTTAGACTTTTTTCTCTTTCTCTGTTACAACATAGCATCTGAGACTTCGGGGCAAATGGAACTGGTGCGCCCTTGTGTTTTGAGAGGGAACAGTCTCAAAACTGAAACAGTAGCCTTGTCTCCTCCACTCTCCACAACCACCTGTCCTTGAAATCCAGGTCACAGCTGGCCCCATAGACACAGCTGTACTGGCAGCTGGTATCACTTGATCCGTCCACTTGTGACTTGGACAGGGGCTGGTGACTCTCCTTGGCTCATGCAGCCCCATGCCATTTGGCTGACTGAGTAGATCTGTCCTAAGGGTCTGTGACATTCGTGTCCCTCGGCATCAGAATCCCCGTGTTCCCCAGACTTTGGGGTGCCTTCACTCTGAACAGTCATCACTGGAGGGCCAAAAGCAGCATGGAAGAACTAAGGCGCCGGGAGGTCTGTCTTATCTCCACGAGAAACCAGGCTACTGTGATAAGGAGAACAGCATAGAACACGATGAGAAATGTCCACTTTCCTGAGTCCTTCCTGTGTTTCTGAGTCCTTGCTGTGGAATACAGAACGTCTCTGTGCTCCTTGAGGATCCAAACTACCTGAATGCTACTAAAGCCACCCGCTGCCCTTGAACTTTGACCTTGGGGTGGCATGGGGAAACCCAGTGTCTCCTTCCTTCACTGCCTCTCTTTTACAAGTCATTTCGGAGAAAGGGGTGGGACTTTCCCTCTTGTCCCCTGAAATAGAGAATCCCTCTACCAGCACTAGCGAAACCATGTGACTTTACCATGCTAGATACATCATCTCTGCACTGTAGGGGGAGTTGTCATGTGACCCATCCACATTAGTTTCTGCAAATCTAAGATGGATTTAGAAATCTCTCACTCAAGCCCTTTTTTTTTTTTTTTTTTTGCCATGCCAATTATTTTCTTACAGGACAAGGTGTAAAAGGTGCTATGATAGGACTCTCAGGAGGCCCTGGTGGGTGGAGCCAAGGTACCCCACAGCGGGTGAGAGACAGAGATGCCATGCAGACAGCACTCAAAGAAGAGTTTTATTTGGTGGAAGAAGAGAGAGGGGAGAGAGAAAGAGGAAGAGAGAGAGGGGGAGGGAGAGAGGGAGAAAGGGAGGGAGGGAAGGAGGGAGGGAGGGAGGGAGGGAGGGAGAAAGAGAGAACCTTGTAGGAACAGAGAGAAAGAGAGGGCTGGCTCAATGGTCCCTGACTACTCTTCCTGAGGACCCGGGTTCGATCCCCAGCACCCACATGGCAGCTCACAGCCGTTTGTATGCAGGGGATCAGACACACCCTCTTCTGACCTCTTCAAGCAGTACATACATGTGATACACAGAAAGAGAGAGAGAGAGGAGGAGGAGTAGTTTTCTCTTAAAGTGGGCTTTAAGTCAGGACGCGCAGTCAGGGCAGGTCCCCAAGGGGCAGACCGGAATCCCTCAGACCTTTGTAGGCCCCCAGACCTTAGTACAGGCCTGGAACCTAGTGTGTAGATAGCAACACTTACCACATTCTGGGAAAGTCCCTAAACGTGCTCACCTTGCTTTTCGGCTTCTGTAGCTCTGTAGTTCCTATCAACTGAGGTGTGTCAACCCAGGATGTGGCCGAGAAAGGCCCAGAACTGTACTGGGTTCCTGAACAGCCCATCTAGTCACTGGCAAGCTAATGGAGACTTTCTATTGGTTTGAACCAGGTCCAAGCAGTCTTCTCGGGTGGGTACTTTTCACAACAAAAGGTATTTCATGGCTTAGCCTCAGAGGTAAAGGCTTCAAAGAATATTCTTTGAGAGGGAAACAAAACAGATTACTTTAATATTTGCAAAATATCTTCATTATATGCTAGAAAATATAAAGTATATTTAAGGGGGGGGCACCAGCAGGAGGGGACCGGATGCACGTTGCACAGTGAAGGCTGTGATTGACGGATCACCAAATGCAGCACACACACACACACACACACACACACACACACACACACACCCAGCCTGCTACAGCCATTTGGCCGCAGGGGAGCCTCTGCGAGGACTCCACTTGGTAGTCTCCTTGGCTTGTTCTCAGTTCCCGGGCTTGTGTACGATCTTTAATTACTGGATTATTTTCAGTGCAGTTCTTTTCCTTAAAGCCAAAATATGAGAGTTAATGGAAGCACTCCGTTAAGACTCACGTCCCATAATGGGCTCTTTGTGCACATACACATAACTAATGCTTTTTTCTTGTTCCTGTAATCCCTCTCTAAACAACCTTCCACTCTAGGACAGTTCCCAGCTGCCACACCCCAGATTACCTGGGTGTCCTGAGTCTTCCCGAAAGCCTGCCTCCAGCGCGTTCTCTCCTGCACACACTCGCTCCTCCCTCTCCCCTAGTCTGTCAGTTTGGACTTCGGTCAGGGCATTTTCTGAGCCTGCCCGTTCAAAGAAATCTAACTTCCCTGCTTTCCTCGGCAGGCCTCTTCTCCAGGGAAGCGGATAGCCAAACTGGCTTTTTAACAGGCGCAACAGCCCAGACCTTCACTTCCGTTTCCTGCCTGCCCCGGGATGATTTGTGCTGCGTCGACTTTCTGCAGCCAGTCTAAACCCAACCCACCTTCCCAAATGCACCTCAAATCCTGCTAAGTCACTAGTCACTCCAGGCCACACCACGCCACTTCAGAACTTCCGGGTAGCATCGATGTTGCTATTTTATTGAAGTCATCCCGGTGCTTGCCTGGGATAGCGCATTTGCTCTTCATTCTGTCCCCGCAAAGCAGGCTCGGCGAAGTGAAGTGCACACTGGACGTGAGGACTGCGAACTTCCAAGTGACCGGCAACTTTGCTCCGCATTCAGGCCGAGAAGCAAAACGTGCCGTAAATGCGGTTCACCACGTCTTCTAAAGCAGAGGGTCTCAACTTTCCTGACTCTGTGACCCTTTAATGCAGCTCCTCATGCTGTGGTGACCCCCCAACCAAAAAATTATTTCTGTTGCTACTCCATATTTGTATTTTTGCCGCCGTTATGAGTAAGTAGCGTAAATATTTTTTGGAGCTAGAGGTTTGTCCGGGGGTCACGACCCACAGGTTGAGAATCATTGTTTTAGTGTCACGCGTCTTCACCTTACTTCCTGCCTGCATGGCAAAGCCATATGGGGCCAGGATTGTGAGCTCTGTGTTCTCTGCATGCTCTCCTAAGCAAGCACACCATCCTTGAATGATGCTTCCCTGCCCCGAATGGTCTTTCCCATGGAGTCACTCTTTTGTCAACTGCCTGGTGTCATGGGTCTTGTATTTAAGTTTACTCACTCAGCATCCGTAGGTGCACTTGTCTCTCCTCCCAGGAATCTTCAGTGAATGCTGGGATGGCTGAGACGCCACCAGCCTGAGGCAGGGGGCGTAGGGCTGCCCATCTGCAGCATTTGATGGGGATTGTTCCACGTCCTGACACCCTTTTGTAAGGCCAGGGGTACACAACACTCCTAAGTTCACCTTCCAGATACTACAGAGTATTGTGGCCTGCTGGAGGCATTCTCCGGGCCAGCTCTTGGAGCACTGGAGTTTTGGGCAGTGTGGAAAAGAGCACCCCCCCCCCCAAGATCTCTGACTAAATGCTCCTCAGCCCTGTCATTTATTTAGAGAGAAGCCAGTTGTGCCAGCTAGAACAGAGAGATGTGTAGTGTGGAAGCAGATGTTAAACATTAGAGCTTATACGTTCAAAGAGGATGTGCCCAAGGAGATCTCTCTGCCCGGTCCTAAATGACAGGCTCCGAGCATTTAGCGCTACCTTAGGAAAGTGGTGAATCGAGGCTTTGTGGAGGATGTTTGGGAGCTTCGAGGGCACAGGCCTGGCAGGGAAGGCTCTGCAGGGCTGCTGTGCTGTGAGAAGACTTCAGCTGGAAGCCACTCGTTTCCTGCCAGGGTCTGCAAATAGTGTGGCACCCTCTCCCTCTCCTGACAGCACAGCAGAGACTCCAGGGCATCCAGCCCGCCACCCTTCTCTCCCGGCCCCTTCCTCTGTTGTTCTGGGTAAAGAGAAAAGGACAGGGTACCTTCGAAATGTCCCCTGCATTCCTCACAGCTCAAGCTTCCTGTCATAGCACAGTCGGCTTTCAGAACCTGGAAGCAACTTGGTCATTGTTGGCATGATGGAGTCATTGAAGTATCCCCTGAAAAGTCCTGCTGATTCCTGGCTTCTTCATGTACCCACTGCTGGTTGAGGAAACCTAACAGAAACACTGTGAAATCCCATCTGCTCCTACCTCTCCTTCCCTGGTAAGTGGAGCTTGTTCCAGATGGAGGAAGGTGGCTTTTGTGATGATAAATACCATGCACTCCCCATTCCAGACGTGTTAAGGCATACTATGGGTTATGATCAGCCCTCAGGAAAATAAAGGTCAGTCTGTGTTGCTAGAGTTTTCCGCCTTGCCCACAGTCAGGACAAATCTTTGTCACCCAGCAGTCCCACAGCCGCTCAGACCCAACCAAGTAAACACAGAGACTTATATTGCTTACAAACTGTATGGCCGTGGCAGGCTTCTTGCTAACTGTGCTTATAGCTTAAATTAGTCCATTTCCATAAATCTATACCTTGCCACGTGGCTGGTGGCCCACCGGCATCTTCACATGCTGCTGGTCATGGCGGCATCTGGCAGTCAGTCCTTCTGCCTTCCTGTCCTTTTATTTCTCCTCTCTGTTAGTCCCGCCTATCCTTCCTGCTTAGCCACAGCCGATCAGGTTTTATTTATTGATCAATCAGAACAACTTGACATACAGACCATCCCTCAGCACAGCCAAGTGCAGACCATCTCAGACACCTGCACTCAGGCCCATGGTCCTAATCATCCTCTATGCGGACCTGCTGGGTAACGCCACAAAGAACCCAAGAAGGGCTCCCACAGGACATACAGAACATCCCACAGCAAGTCTGTCCTAGCTTGTTTGTCTTTACACTAACCATGTGCCTCTCCTGCCTATGTTGGGTCGGAAGATCTGCACATGTCTACAGCTGTCATGGACAGAGCATTCCACACACAGCAGTTAACCCTTCCTGCAAGAAGGGAGCCTACCTCCGCGACTGACCCACGTGAGCCAACTTCAGAGTGCTGCCGGACCTGGTTTGCTGTCTGATGAGGGAGGGAGGGAGAAGGGAGGCTGCATCGCTCTGCTCTAAGAAAGTGTGGTTCCTGGAAATTCAGAGAGAAAGTCAGATTAAATCAGGATTCGGTAGGCTTTTCATCTCACTTGAGAAAAAGCAAAAGATGCCTTAAAATAGTATCTCCTCTCCAAGGGCAGGTGAAAGATGGCCTGATTCATAGGAACATCATTCCCAATCAGTTTCTGGGGAACCAGATCGGACCCAGCTTCAATGGAAATGGTGGAGAAGGCTCTTTTACATGTCTATACCGTTCTAAGATGATCCACTGGGTATGCAGTAATTCTCAGGGCAGGAAAAGACTCACTGAGTGCCTGACCATTCAGATAATTAGTTCCCATTCAGCCATAACTTCTCAAATATTGGCAGCAAGATCTTTGCTTTACTCCCATCAGGCGACTAATACAATGCAAATCAAATGCAGATCGACTGAAATGGAGTGAAACTGCCTACCCTGCAACAGATACAGGCTTTCATCTGAATGGGATAGGCACATAATTTGAGCTTCATAAAAGGGTGCTTTAAATATCAGAGAACTAGAAGAGATCAATGGAGAAGCAAGCAACAGTATTTTTAGAACTCCCCCCCCCAAAAAAAAAGACCCTCTCAATACCTGTAGGTAAAAGGGTCTTTGCTAAGGCCATCTGTGCCCTGCTCTAAGTTACTTCATATTGTGTAAAATGGTGACTTTTCTAGGCAGTGCCTTGCCCTGAGACACTCCATTTTACAAGCATCTTTGACTCCATTTTGAGTGCAGACTCAGAGGCAGGAAGACTATGAGCCTTGGTGGGCACGTAAACAAACAGCACCACCCACAAGGACTGGACTGGCATATAAACTATTTCTAAAAGTTAAAAAGGATACTGCCATGTAGGGAGTGTAGACACCCACAGAGTTTTCCTAGTGAGAACTTGCTCAGGGTCTGAGAATTTAAGCTTGCTTTACCCAGCAGGGCTGCATAAGGGGATGATTTGACCACGGGCCTGGTTACCAGGTATTTGGAAGAGTCTACACTTGGCTGTGTGGTGCGCTTTGATCTAGCAAAGGGGAGGTCTTTTGCCCTGCCCCTTGGCATTGTTATAAAAAACCCTTTTGAGGAGGCAGAAGGGACCGCTGGGTTTTGATCCAGGTCCTCCTGAAGCTATCCTGTGTTTCTTTCTTTCTCCTCTTCACTATCTTTCTACCTAAAACTTTCTTATCCCTCTCTCCCCCTCATAAGAACCCTTTTAAAAGGTGGGAGCTGCCTTCCCACAAGGGAGCAGATGAAGTCCTGAGTAAAATGTGTATTATTGGCAAAAAAAATTGGCCATGTCAAGGACCCTGATGCCTCAGGCCCTTGGGAATAGCAAGGCCCACTCCAGGTTAGGCTGTGAGGAATACCAAAAAGCCTTCCCCTGGATGAACAGATGAGCTTTAACTAGAACAAGTGTGTGCTGAAAATACCAACTGTAGCTTTCTCCTCCAGGATGACGGCCCGCCTAGAGACTTCCTGTCTGGATTAGCTAATCTGCCTCTTCCCAGCTTCATTGGTGTTACAGTATACAGTAAACTTGCAGAATTTCCAGGCTGCTGGTAGTGTATCTGGATCGGAGTGCATGCCCATCCCTCATCCCAGCTTTCTCTGTATGACCGTCATCTCATTTTCTCCTTCCCGTCACTCCAGCTAGGTCGTTCCCTAAGCCATGCGGGTCACAGCACTGCCCTACAAATTTAACAAAATAAACGGGAACGGTAGGAACATGGGGCATATTAAAATCATAGAAACTCTAGGGCTGAGGACTTATTGATCCCATCAGCTTAAAGGAAGGGTGCCGCACCCTCACCTAGACCCCAGAAAGTGGAGAACACCTAGCATTGTGACAGTGATGGCCCCTCTCGCCTGCCATCTGACCTTTCATGTCAGCGAACACAGGCAGAGAGCCCCTAACCGTCAGGGGTTCAGTGCAGCCCACTCGAGTGGCCTCCTCTTCATCCCTGTTCTTCCGTCCAGACTCCTCGGGTCTGCTGCGCACAGCTGTAGCCTTTGCAGCCCCGGACCTGCCTTCCGCACCTCGCCGGACCCCAAAGCTTGACTCCTCAGTGTCTCCAGACAGTTTCTTCTCTTATTCCCACACAAGCTCTTTTCTAATCCTACCAGCCTTCCTTCCTTCCTGCTTCTCAGTCCTCTATGGAACTCCTTGAACTCTGTCCTGGCCTCGCTAAGCCTCTATAACCATTCTGTAGCCTACATACATACATACACATAGATAGATGTGTTTACTTGGTGATGTGCAGCCGTATGGTCTGAGAGTTACTATATTAGTAATTAGGATAGGAATAAAAGAACGCGTGTTTGCCTCAGCCAGCTATCAGGACAAACTGCTGCCAATGAAACTCATCTTATGAATAAGAAATTATATTGCTAAGCAATTTAGTGACTAACCCTTGGCCATGTGTCTAAGTATATTAATTCTACTTCAACACAGACTTTGTGACCCCACCCCCACCCCCCACCCCACCCCACCCCCACTAAGGTTTATCCTCCTGCATGGGCAAGTTTCTTCACAGATAAAAATAGTAAAGCATGATATAGCCAATGTTACCAGCACTAAAAACGTCTGAGGGAGTTTTAGGAGTCAGGTTCTATTGTAGCTTTCTTGGGGGGGGGAAGTGCCTGTTAGATTAAAAACTATGTTTAATTCATTCTAGACTGCGTGTCATTGGCCTGTCACCTGTGACTCCAGCAGGGCAGGTATTTGTCTTCAGTGACCCATTTAGCCAAAGTTTCACAGTGATTAAGCTCTAAGCAAATACAGACACAGGTAAGACAGAAGGAGCACTCTGATGTGGGAAGCCTAGACATACCCCGCACAGTGAAGCCACACAGAGCACCCGGCCCTGTGTGCTGTCTATTTTTATCAGCCCATGTCTATTTCTGGCTTCTTTTTTCTCCTCTCTCCTTGCCTTTGCAATACTAGATGTATGCACCAAAAAAAAAATGTAGATATTTATCCAGAAATTGGTACTTTACTACTGATGAGTTGATACAAACAATATAGCTAGAACCATTATAATGTTAAGTGAGTTTTGAACAAATAGAGTTAGAAATCCAATTATCTTCCCATAGAAAGCTTTTGTGTGCAGCCATTGTTAAATAAAGAAGGGAAGCCAGGGGGAGAGTTGGAACAGCAATTTCTCCTGCCTGTAAAAGGACATCAGAGAGTTTTGCCCTGCACATACATTAATCCGCTCATAATGGCCACCCCCCTGCTGCCAGCCAGCAAAGATCATTTTTAACTCCTGCTGTACTCTGGTTCCTGGAGGCTTTCTTTTGGGAGAGGAGCTGAAAGCCAGGAGCATGGGATGTTCGTGAAACATGAAAGATCAAACACAGAGCCCTGCACACAAAACTAACTTCCAGAACCAAGTTCCAGCAGCCCTCCCTTGGGACCCCAGGTTAGGACCCTCAGGGTTTACTAGAGACGAGAAAAAACAGGAATTATTGCGCTGGTCCCAGTTTGACTGACCTTTCATTGGACTTAGGCCAGTGTCTCTCAAAGTTTTCGAGAGGCCTGAATTACACTGGGATCTGGTTTCACACTGCAAATTCTCATGCATAGATTTGTAGTGGGGTCTGAGGGCCTGCCTTTCCTAAAACACAGGAGGAGATAGATGCCCTTGCCGTGAGTCCACGCACTCAGAGTGGCAAGACTCTCAACCTGAGCATTGGGTGGGGAACCATCTTCTGCTTGGTTTTCAGGGACAGCCATTAAAATTCCAGTCAGGAGGAAGTTTTGGAATCCCCTGCCCTTTTAATAGCAAGCACTAGCCGTGTGACCTTGGTGGGAAGGGACTTGTTTTCCTTTAAAAGTTGGTTATGAGGAGAAATTGCATTTACTTCGGTGCTATTTGCTCATCACCTGCTCCATCAGCACCAACTAAACTCACCCAGCTTCCTGCTTTCATTTTACAAATGTGAAGTCACTACGAGGTGAAGAATCCAGCTCAGTGTGGCACAGCTTGGCCAGAGCCCAAGCTTAACCGGAAACATGATCTCCGGAGAACGCGTAGGCTACTTGCTTGGTTACATCATAGCCCATTACTACTAACTGGGAAGCTGATCCCAGCATTCAACCAGCCCCCTGCCCTCCCCTAGCCTCTGAAACCCACAGAGCGCCAGTGGCTAAACCATACCCCAAAATATTTTTGCTACAGCTGGTCCTGACAGGTCGAGCCTTCTTCCATTAATCATGAAAATTACCCAGATAATTGATATAATTGGGGACACAGAGTATCTGAGTGAAACCAGCAAGAATGGATTAGATCCCCTGGTACAGCCTTGAGATTCCTGCTGTGCTCAAGGGAAAAAAATTCCCTCCCCTGGGGAAAATTATGGACGGCCCAATGGAACCTTTGATGTGGTCTACGAATAACACTAGTTGTGATGACCTAGTCCCCAAGGACAAAACTAAATCTTGTCAAAAGGTTGGACACACACGGCTGTCTCTCTTTTTCTGTCATATTTTATAGAAACCCTCACTAAAGTTTTTAATGTCCACAGTTGACTGTGATGTCTTTGGGGAGGTCAGAAAGCAGCGTAAATAAAAAAATGCTCTCCTGAGGTGCTTTGCAAATGGGCATCGGCTACAGGCGGTTCCAGCTCCAGGGGAAGAGCAACGCAAACTCTTTCCTTTCTCTGCAGTAAAAAGAATGAAATGACTGCTTTCTACAGCAGGCCGAGATAGGAATAACTGAACTGGAAAAAATATTAGCTGTCTGTCTGTCTGTCTGCTGCTGCTGTTGCTGCTGCTGCTGCTGCTGTTGCTACTGCTGCATAATACAAAGTACACATCACTCGAGTATCTGCCCAGTGAAAACATACAAAACACCAGCACCTGTCGGCAAAGGTCGCTGCCGCGGTGCAGGTGGTCCTTGTTGGTGGGATCAGAATGGAGCTGTCCACGCAGTTCATTAATTGCCACTGTTAGTATCTACTCACTCTCAAGACACAAACCTGCTTAACGAGAATGCCCCACATCCTTTTAGTACAAG